GAGAGAGAGAGAGAGAATCTTTTATGCAGACCTGTTCTATCAAGGAGAGCAAAAGCACGAGTAGAGCGAACGACCACATATTACAAAAAGAGCAGAAGCGGGACTGCAGGAGTAAAATGAAAATACACATACTAAGAAAAGGGCACTCAAGAGATGAAGTCTTGGGTGCGTAAATTTTACAAATTCTTTGGATGTTTATAAGCTAGCGAATCCATGCTTCTTTATTTGGATAGTATGCTTTAGTGAAATGGAGTTCTCTATCCTGTGTAAGCTAGAATGGTCTCAGTGTGAAAAATTTAATAAACTTTGGCAATATTTGTAAGTTTTTCTCAACTCAGTTTGTGCGAATCTCTTTCCGAAATAGTTGGAATGGACTGTTGGGATTTCATATCATAAATGTGGAAACCTTTATGGGATATGATTGTGATTTATGAGAAATGTCCTATTTTAAACACCATTTTATGGTATGTTAATCATAAATTCATAATTTTCCCACCCATGACGTAAGTTGCCTTTGTTTTGGTTACCTTGCTGAAATACCTGGACACTGTAGTTTGTGGTTATGTGAGCCTTCTCAACAGGATAATTTACTCTAGAACTTTGGAACTTTTATATAAGTTAAGGATCTTCCCGGATAAAAAGCAAAGAAGTAAAATTTGGGAACTTGAAGTTATTAATGCAGAATTTTTTTGGGGTATTGGTAGGGCCAAAACTCTTGATTCCTCCCTCCACATTTTTGTCTCTTCTTTTTAAATCTATCCCATCGAAGTATAACTCTTATATCATTTTAATCACATTTTAGATTTATTTGTGACATGAGTCTTGTAGTATAAATTTTCTGGAGGAATATTCAATATCACATTTATATATGTGCCCTTCCATGGGCTAAATTTTTACTGTATTAATGTATTTCTTCTTCTCTGAAGGACTTATATTAAAACTTGACGTAAATAAATGTTCATAAATTATGGTTGGAATTTATGATTCAAAATTTATTTTAAACTTGGAACTGAAAATGGAAATCTTTACTTGATTGTAAAATGAAAATTACATGTCATGTTGACAATTTTCATATATAGCTTGGATTGGTTCCTGCATCATCGCCATTTGTGTCTTATTGTAGCATGACATCCACAAATGTGTTGGGATTGATGCTTGGAATTTGTGATTTTGCTGATGTTCAGTGAACACAATCACATAAAATTTTCAAGAATTTGTTGGAAATTACGAAGTAAAAGAGAAACTGAATGATTGGAAACTCTTTTTGAGTATATGAATGATTATTACATGGCTTATTGTCAGGTACTCCTCTATCGGTCTGGGTTGGTTGCTACTGCAGTGTCATTTGTAATTGCTGCTTCCCCAGCTTTTTTGCCAGATGGTACTTTCTTGAATGATATCGTACTACAAAATGCAGATATCATATATGCTATTGGAGCTGGAGGTTTAGGCCTATCATTGATTTTGATTCACATATATGTCACACCAATAAAGCGTGCTCTTCAAGTATTTTGGGCATTGGGTATCCTTGGCTCTCTTGGAGCATATTTAAGTCTTTCTCAACCATCTGGTGAGAGCTTGATTCTATATGTGATCAATAACCCCATCAGTGTATGGTTTGTTGGGCCTCTCTTCGTAGCCTTGACTGGGCTTGTTTTCAAAGAAGGTAACAGATTGTTTCTATTGTCTTCCAATTTGTGTATTTGTGGTAGTGATTTTTAATCTTTTAGGTTAGGGGAAGTGCACTATAGCTGGCTGGATCATGGCAAAACCATTTTCCATCAGGTCATCACCATCTATTGAAAATGTGGAGGGTGATGGAGTGTGGGACCCATCCTTCAGTTCATCTCATGTTCTGGTGTATTTGACTCCCTATGCATATCACCATCCATTATTTCAGTGGATTTGGTTTGTGTTGAACTATAGAGAATGTTCAAGGAGATCAATTTTATTTTTAATTGAACATTCCATTGCTATTATTTCTTTGGAAATTTTCTCTTGCTTATATATCTCCAACTAATGAGGATGTAAGGTGTGCAGGGCTCTGCTACGGCAAGTTAGAGGCTGGCATTTTAACATTTGTTATCCCCACTCTACTACTTGGCCACCTGGTACACTCTCTTTTGCATCACTCCTTTTCTGATACATTAGATTATCATAATTAGAACACTGTCATGCTTAGTTAAACTTGAACTCAATCGAGTTAACTGTATTTAGAGCTTTGGATGCTCTGTTGAATCTGTTGAACCATGCATGATTTTCTCAAACCTCAATGTAGAGAGTTTTATGCCTTGATCTTCATCTATGATCTGATGTTCGATCTGTGTTCTCTCTCGACTCAACAAAATCTGGTAGCATTTCTTCATTGTGTATTTTTGTATTTGTGTGCAGTCTGGTTTGATGGATGAGAATGCTGAACTTGGTCTACTTGGTTTTTGGATGGTTCTTTTCATAGTTTTTGCTACACGAAAGTTTACACAGCCAATTAAGGTATGCGTACACTAATTAATAATTACTTTTGGGCTTGTTGGATGTACTTATTGTCACTGATAATTCACTATTTCAATAAAATTAATCGTGATGATGAATTATCAATTGTTTGGCAGCACCTCACACAAAATTTTCTGAGATAGCAGTTTTATAGATTAGTTTATCTTTTTGAAAAGCTGTATTTACTTTATTTAAAGTAATTTGCTGAATTTAGTTAGAAATAACTAAAAATAATTGAAAATTGCCGGAAAAAGTTAAATACTTAGATAATGTTATACATAAGATAAGTTGTTACCAAACAGCGAACAAAATAATATTATGCAGAGTACGTTAATTTCAGATAAGATATTCTAGTCTTGATATGATGGATTTTCATTCATAGTGGCCCTTAATCTGTATGCATATGAACAGGGAGAGAGAGAGAGAGTGTTTTTGGTTATCATTGCTGAATTTCATTGCTTTTTTGAAGGACGACATTGGTGATAAATCCGTTTTTATGTTCAATGCACTCCCTGAAGAAGATAAGAAGGTCGTTCTTAAAAAACTCGAAGAGCAAACTGGTCAGGGGCCCATTTAGACAACCAGTGATGTAATACCCACTTTTGAGGCAGTAACCTAGTTTCGATTGTTGTAACATATTGTAACATTATTGTAACATTATTGTATAGATATAAGATCTGAGTGCCACTGTTCTATAGGTCCATGCTTTACCATAAAGAACAGCAAATAAACATGATGACAGCGTTAGTTGAGAATCGATGGCCTTTAATGAAGTTTATTATTTGAAGTTTATTTAATGATTACTATTGAGTTTGATTCATGGACAGTTACACCTCGGTTTGGCTACTTGATGGTAACTTAAAAAGGGTCACGTAACTTTTAATGACTAAGCAAAAATAATCAAAACCACTATGGTGCTTACTGGGGAACACTCTCTCTCATGCTTGCAATTGAACCACAATTTCATTTGGTTGATTTGGGGCAAAACTGTTATAATCTCACTTCACTTGTGCGCTGCCTATAAAGTTTGGAAAATGGTTTGATACATCAAAAGGCCCCAAAAATTGTAGTTTTGGTGTTGGAAAACCTTCAAATCGCCTTGATGCACTAAAAAAAAAAAAACAGTTTTCAAGCTTTAAAAATAATGTATATTGTAGCAAATTATCTTGATCGTTCATTTTGCTCTAATAATAAGTGTTTCCAGATCTTGCAGATCTGTACTAGTTTTTTAACTTCAAATTTCATACTTGGTGTTAGAAATTCACTTTAGGGTCATTGTTGAGATTTTTGATGCCTAAAGTTCTTATCCAAAATTGTGCGGGGAATCCTTGTCTATTTATCATTGCTACCAAGTAGTGTTACGGTGTGTCACTTCCAAAGAACATCTTAATTAACCTTTGCTCATTTTTCACTGCATACAATGTGTCGTTTACAAAGAATGCCTTAGTACGAGTATATAAGGTCGGATCAAAATTTATGATAGGGATGTGGCAAAAGTTTTCAGCTAGATGTCAATCTAACATAACCCTTGTTTTTCGTCCAGGTTGGCGATTAGCACTGGTGAAAATGGACGACTAAAAATATATTTTTTAAAAATATATAAATTCTCTTATCTTAAGATTGGTAACTTGAGGCAAGTAGGAGTACTTTATTAATTTATAATGACAATAGTATCGTAAAGGTATGTAGGCATTTTTTTAATATGTTTTTTGAAAAGATACTTGAGTGAAAGAAAAATTAAAAGAGCAAATGATCTAATGTTAATTGGGATATTTTAATCCCTTACCTTATAATTTTAATAGATACTTATTCACTTTGCATATAATTTAAAATTTTTACTTTAAAGGCCTGAACAACAAAAAAATTCGACAAAAAAATATATGGTAAAATTCAAAATACAAAAGACATTTTTAAATACTGCAAAAAAATATTACAAAAATTCTCATTATACTCATAGAGAGAGGCTCTTGATATTGTTAAAAGTACACATCATTGTTTTAAAACACGGTGATTTTCAATCTAGTCAATGATTAGGATCGGAATCCTTCAGGACCGATCCTTGAGGTGAGGAATGGGTCTAGGCCCAGTTGTCTCTAAGCCCCCCTCTTAATTTTTATTTATTTTTTTCTTTTTTCAAGCTTGTCTAATGTTTTTTTAGATCTCTTTAAATCCCCATCATATTAACTCTTATTTTCTTTTTGTGTTTTATATATTTATTTTTAGGTCATGGATTCAAACTGATTGAAAGACAATCTTTAAATCCCCATCATATTATCTCTTATTTTCTTTTTGTTTTTATATATTTATTTTTAATTTTTTTAGGTCATCGATTCAAACTGATCGAAGGACAATCTGAATCATCAATTTGTGGTGAACGATCCACCCAGGTTAAGAAACACTAGTACGGACTTTTCCCTTCGTTTATTTTGGACCTTTTGGTGAAGAGGAATTTTTCACTCGAGGAAACGGATGCCTTCTTCGTCAAATTTCAAACAAAACTTTATTTATTATGTTTCGATTTCTCCGCCCAGAAATAGGGAAAAAAGAGGTAATTTTTTCACTCAAGGTGATTATATTTTGGTTTCTCCACCACCTCTCCTCAAGGTATGATTGGAAAAAGACGTACCTTTTCACTCCAGGTGTAAAAAAGAGTATTTTCCTTGAAATGGGGGAATCAAAATTCGCATCAATGGGGACGATCGTCCATCTCATATAGTCGTGTCCGAATGTGGATCTGGGATCTAGATCAGTCTAGATCGGAATGAATCAGCAATCTAGAGAGTTTTAAAAATAAATAAATTAAAATTTAAATAGGTGTTTATGGGGTGACGATTTAAGAGCGATCTAAAAAAGACATTAGATATACTTCAAAAAAGAAAACAGATACAAAATGGGATGGTTTTTTAGGGGAACCATACCATACCTTCTCATAATGAGTTCGGTCTCAACTGATTCTCATTCTCGGTCCATATCAATGATCCAGATTGAGAATCGTTAGATTTTAAAAAACTTTGGGATACACAATTACTACCTTTTTCGTGTCAAGGACGCAAGTAAAGGTGGACTTATTCAAGGAAAACACGTTCATGCATTGGGGATGCATAATATATTTGTATCACCCGAGGCATCACACATCCATCTTAAGGATGGATGGAGTTGTGGTCTCGCTAAGAAAGGGTAAAATCAACCATTTAAAATTTTTCTATAAAAAGCTATAAATTTTTTTTTATAAATTCATGATCTCCATTAAAGATTATATATACATAAAATATTACGTCGATCTCAAAAAAGGATCATGAAGAGGGGAATGCGTATCACGTAGGAGTCCTAGGACTCATAAAAACCATGTTTATTATTCAAAGTTTAACCCAAGGGGATCAAGATTCTCCCCTTCACGTTTTCAAGTTCTGCAGAATGAGTTGCACCAAACCAATAAAATACAAGTTCTTTTAACTCGTGACCAATTGATGAAATGAAAGGTTCCTCTAAGTCCCCGCTCTTAAAAAAAACGGATTTTGATTCCAAAATTTTTAAGTTTGTTACTATAAAAAATGGTGATATCATGAACTGCAAATTTTTTAAAAAATAAAATAATTAGTATTTTTTGAATTTTTTTTTTTCGACCATTCATTTTTATTGAAAATAGTGCAACTTGCAATATATTATCTAACCGTTTATTTTCAAGATTTTCATGCATTAATAGATCTGCTTGATTTTAACCAGTTTTGGACTATATAATTTTATAATAAATATAAAAATAAATTCTCAAACCATTCTAGGACTTTTCGACACTAAAATTACATGACATACAAAGAAACACCTCAAGTTGATTGATTTTGGTTTCACCTTTATGCAAACCACACCTTTAAAAAATAATTTTATATTTTTTCTATTTTAGCCTCACTCTATTTTTTGTTAAATCATTTGGATGGAAGTACTTCAAATTCTATTTTGGCACTTAGAGCGGCGGGCTTACCATATGGCAAGCGCCGCTCCAGTCGCGAATGCCGAATTGGAACCGTCATGCGGAAGCCGTTTTACAGGTTTACCATATAAAAAATTAAAAAAGTTTAAGGGCGGGCCCCTTAACATATACATTAAGACACATCTCAAAAAATATAGTAGAAAATGTTATTTGGATGCTTAAAAATTCTCAATATGATCATCTCAACCTCAAGATGTATGGACAAAAGAAAAAATAGATTTTAAGTTTTGAAAATAGTCCATCTTGTAATATATTTCTGGACAATCAATTTTAAAGATTTTTTAGGTGCTCATAGATTTAGGCGATCTACACTATTTTGTAGCTTCAAATTTTATAATTAGATATGAAAACAAAGTTTCAAGCCATCACAAAGATTTCTAACATTGAGAAACATATTCCGACACCATTTAAAGGTGCGCCTTACTTTGATGGTTTGGGGCCTTAGTCGTACAAACCACACCCATAAAAAAATTGCCAAAAATGTTTTTTTTTTTTTTTTTCCTGTTCTTTGCTTTGAATCAATAATTGATCCATGGCTATATTAAAAGGGTGTAGTTTCTATAAGGTTGCAACCCTAAACAATCCAATTAAGGTGCACCTCCAAATCTTACATAACATATAATTTTGGTTTAAAAAATTCTAAAGATTATCTTAAAATCTAATTTTGTATCTAATTATAAAAATTTTAACTCCAAAAATTGTTAAAATCAAGTAGATCTATAAACATATGCAGCTCTTGAAAATGGACAGTCTAGATAATCTGTTGCAAGATGCATTATTTCTGAGACTCAAAATCTTTCTTTTTTATATTCATACATCTCGATATCGAGATGGTCAATTAGAGGGTTTTTCAACATTAAAACAACATTTTTCAATGGATTTTTTAGATGCATATGTAATCCTACATTTTAAGGTTGCAACCTTATATAAACTTTTCCCATATTAAAAAGGAAAAAGTTTATATAAGGATTCAATCTTATAATGTAGAACTACGGATGCACCTCAAAAATCCATCGGAAAAGGCAGTTTTAATATTGAAAAACCTTTTGATTGATCATCTTGACATTGAAATGTATGACCATAAAAAGAAAAAAGATTTTAAGTCTCAGAAATAGTGCATTTTACAACATATTATACTAAAACGTCCATTTTCAAGATTTTCATATGTTTATAGATTTACTTG